AAATATAATTTATATATTTAAACATAATATATATATATATATATATATTATAAATTTTAGTTATATTTAATAATTTAGTTTTGTTCACATGCAGTTAAATATTAAATTATAGTTGATTATAAACTTTTGGAGAATTTTCAAATATATATTTTTTTCAATTGGATTCCTGGGATTATTTTTTATCTGCTTGACCAGAAAATGACAATTTATAACAGTTTTCAAAATTCTAAGACGACTTAATTAAGAAAATACATGGTCAATGAGTTAATTATTTTTTCTTTTAAATATAAGCATCTACTTAGAAATTTCCAAATAATTTAGGTGACAACTAAATATGTTAACCTGTATTTGAAAAAGATCTCATTACTTTATATTTTTAGTGTTTTTAATCAATAGTTATTACGCAATTCGTATGGAAATTTATTTATGATGTTCATACATTTTTAATTAATTTTATTTGACAAATTTACTTAAGTTGTTTTTTTGTTTTAGAATACACATGGATGGGTGGGTGGGAATCGAATCTGCCGGAGAGAAAAGAGGGACACTTGCAACAGGCAACATCAATGCTCTTGCTTAAGAAATTATAAATAAATAAATAAATAAATAAATAAAAATCTGCGGCACATATCTAAACATCAAATCAGGTATATATAAGAACAAACTTTTGGTTGGATGATTTTTCGTTGAATACATTGATAAAGTGGTTATATAATATTAAATAATATATTTTTGTTAATATACAATGAAAGATATTTTTCTTTATCACTAAACTAATAATTGATGGAAAAAATAAAATAAAAAAGTAATAATTGACCTGTTTTGTGATTGAGCTCAAAATTACGATTTTAATACAAGATATAATTTTAATCTAAAATCATCAAATTTGTTGGCACAAATTCTAAATCATGCTTAGCTAACCCTAAGCGTGTGGTTTAGCGGTAGGGGTTGATCCACGCTTAAGCAAGGTCAGGGGTTCGAATCCTGCCTTGTGTATGCAGTCGCGTTATATCCCACCCTTTGAGATGCCTCCAACATAGCGAGGAGATTAATATTTAGTGATGAAAAAAAAAGTTATTCCATGACTGTTATAATTCTCATTGAAAAATGCGTCTAATTTAATATTTTGACGGTATATAATATGATTGTTTTCCTCAAAATCAAATTTTGCAATAAAAAAAAATGTCTGTTTTCTTAAAAGTTTACTGTATTTGTCCCACATTTTCTTTTATTTTTAAATAAAAGTTTCTACATTTGTGAGTACTGTTACTGTATTTACAGTTTTATTACGACGGAACTACCGTAAAAAAAAAAAGAAAAAAGTGTACAGTGTATTCTGTATAATGAATTAAGAGTTGCAGTTAGCAGAGGTATTTTATTCTTCAATTCTACACTAATTAAATATTGGTTAATCATTGACTAATAAGTAATAACTCTATGAGGTCTACTGAAAATTATACATAAATGTAATTATAAAATATGAAATATATTGCGTAGATTTTAAAAATAAATGAAATTTGGTAAAATAAAAAAAATATTTATTAAGGTAAATACTTATACTCACCTTCTTATTCAGCTTACAATCACCACTTTTTTTTTTCTTCTCTCTTTACCATATTAAAAAGGTAATGTGGTTCTTGTTACACACTTAGATATCCAAAATTAGAGATGATATCATGACTATTGTAATCATAACTCAACAAAATTCGCTTAATCATTCAGCGTATAAATCAACTGACTTGAAAATTTTCAATTTAACCAGTGTTTTTTTAGTTTAAATATTAAATATACAGTTAGATTAAATATTTAAGAGAACCACACATAATAATCTTACTTTGTTATCCGATAAAATAAAACGAAGTTTGGTGGATGAAAATAATCACAATTGCTCAAATATACATTTCTTTAAATGGTTCGTAATTACCTTAAATCCATAACATATATATATTCATTGTTTGCTAACCGTCAATGTTGGTAATTAGCTTGCCTAATTTGCTTTAAATCATAGTGTTACCATTAATTAATTTTTAATTTTGACCATTGTCAATCTTTACAATTCTCACGTGAATGAGAAACTACATAGGTACTTATATTACAGTTCTTGATTAGAAATTTGCACTTGTTAGCTTTGGACCAATCTATATCATCCATCCCCACAACAACATTGGAAACAATGTGTTGCATCATAGAACAAAGTAAACAAAGGTGAAGAATAGCGCCTAATATAACCAAACTAACATGACCCTATTTTTCAAATGTTAATGTCGAGGAAGTTTATTCTTCCCTAGTTACTAAGCAAAACGACAATCCAATCCGATTCATGCTTTTTGTCCTTGAGTGGTTTACATATGAGGATTTAGCAGGAGTGTCGTTCATGGTGTCGTTTTGTGGGAAACATCCATCTCTTTGAACAGAATCTGTGCTCGTGGAGGTTCCCTTTCTTCATGTGCAGCTATAGTGGCTACTGAACAGCATTTTTATGGTTCCGGTTTTGTATGTCACGAAAAATAAAACAAAGAAAGCATTTTAAAACTTGAAATGCATATAAAGGAACCAATGACATGTTTTTATACTTCTTTCTATCAAATCACAAACAGTAAAACTTGATTTTTTTATTTCCTTTCAAAATAACTTGAATGATGGAAATATTAAGGTGTTGAATTGAACAGTTGGTGTGGATATTCTCAACTTAAGTGATCATCTCGAGGGATAGGATGGGGACCTTCCTAAAACTACAAGCATGGCTATCACTAGTCATTATAGTGCAGGCATTTACCGGAAACTGTGAATCTTATTGGAATGTTAAAACTTTAATCATTCTACTGCATCAATTTCATATATATTTTTTTTCTGAAAGATCATGATCGCATATGTCTATAAAATAATAATGATACTGGTACAAAGAATTGCTAATGATAAATTTTCGTTTTAAATGACTGTCTTTAATGAGATTTCTCTTCTTAATTATATTTTTTCTATTTACTAATTTCGAACTTTGAGATCTTTCTTAAGGGATGTATGCCTTGTTATACTCGAACGATTTGTGGATATGACACATGTCTGACAAGCCTCTCTTTCCAACTTGGAGTGTTTGATATTCGAAGAAAATAGAAGAGATCATTCTCTTGTCAATTAAATGTAAAACAATAACTGTAGTTGATATGTCAGAAATGAATTGCCTAACATGAATTTTCTTTGCTGTAAAAAACAGAACTGAATTTTCTTTCATTGTTAATACTAATGTTGAAGATGTAATATAGAACTTTCATATAACATATTAAGCTTTTGAAATAGTTAATTTATGACAATTGTGTTTGAAACAGATTCAGTTGCGTTAAATGCCAATTCATTGTGAGAAGAGGATGGGCATTGAAAAGTGGGATGAGTGTAGACAAATAAATTTATTTTGTGTTTAGATTATAATTAAAAAGTTAAAGTTGAGTTAAACTTAACTTCCCAAACCAACCTTCAAGAAAAAGCAAGACTCTTCTAGCTTTTGATTTTTTTTAAGTTTACTTGTAATTTACACTCAACAAAATGAAAAAAGAAATTATCAAACATATAAGTACAGCGTTCGAGATCAACTAACTCAGATTACAAACTTCAAACGTGTAACCAAATACAATCTTAGTGCATTTGGCTTATAGGTTTTACAACTTTCAAGATAATTCAAGAGTATGTGCCTAGTTGCTATGAATTGAACGCAAGTTTGAACACTTTTAACATCAAAACAAACACACTTTTAATAGTTAGTAGTCTAGTCTAGAGTTTTAAGACGAACTTAACTAACTTTCCCCCAAGTAAAAATGGGGTTAAACAACTCCATCATAATTTATTAGTGTAGGTCTTTTATGTAATTAAATGATTAATACAATTTTCTAATTGCATCAATTACTTAAAATGAAGGTTGTTTAATCTTATTTTTACTTGTGGAAGTTAGACAACCCCTCCGGAAATAGTTGGTTATCATATCTTAAGCTTTGCTTTTGAAATCGTTAATTTATGACATGGTAAGTGCTTCTATAACTTAGTAGTCTAGAATTTGATTTTTCATGTAACATCTTAAACTTTTGAAATAGTTGGTTCATGACAAGGTATTAACGCTTCTATGACTTGCTCTAGGTTTGATCAAAATGACGTGTGTGAGAGGACGTGTCAGAGTTGTAATATAAAATCAATTTTGTGTTTTCACTTGACAGGAAAACTAACATTGGAGAACTACTTTCAATATCATTGTCTTAAATTATTTTGCTTATGTTGTAATAGGATACATCTATTCATTTTAGATGTGCGATTCTAAGCTTGTTTGCTCGTTGTCTTTATGTAAGTTTGATCCTTAGCAAATTCTTTGATATTGTTCACCATGAAACAGATAACCACGGATAGTTCTACCTGCCCACCAGAACAGTTGTTGAGAATGAAATTAAGGGTACGTGAAATATTAATGTGGTAACTCGTATATAATGGACCTTATTTATTGTTATGTCTTTAGCCTATACAATGTTAAGACTGGTCCTGAATGTGACACGTTAGAAGGTTATGAATTGAAGGTCGTCAAAAGCAGCATAGTCTTTGCCCTTTGTGACACTACCGGTTTTCACAAATGATACTATTTTACAAGCCTTCATTTTCAGTGGGGTGAAGCAAACTGTTAAGTCCATATACACTTGAGACTTTCACCACCACATCGTACATCATAATCACATAAGAAAGAAAAACAAAAAAGCCTACAACAATGAAGTCTATGGCATGTGCATCCAAGCCATAACTTCAGTTTGTTCTTCAACAATTTGAAGGAGTTACTGCACAATGTTGGTCCGTTACATAAGCATTTTACAAAAGTGTCCTGGTTATGTCAATAACCAAAGTGGATGGCTATCTCTTGAGTAGCCCGTGACAGAAGATTGGTATTAGGAGGCATACCATGGTGCTGCATGGTAGAGGATCTTTTATAGCAGTTAGGTGACATACTTTGGCATTCTGACACATCTTCTACTACAATTGAAGAGGGTTCAACATCTTGGTCTTGCTTCTCAAGCCTTTTATCCTCTGCCATGACTCTCAAAAACGCCTCAAGTGCATTACACATCCAGTCATATCGGCTGAGTCTGAATGCCTCTTTTATGTTTAACTAAGAAGACAAAATATGCACTTTGACTCAGTTAAACATGCTCTCTGAATGTAAAAACATTATTATGCTTCATGTGATGTCAAAAGCACATATTGTTATGTATTTATATGGGTCTAGTAATTATTGTAGCACTTGAACAATTTGAAACTTAATGCAATTTTCCTAAAGATTTTGTAACTCTTTTTCAGGATTTATTCAAAACACTTACCCATTGGCGAGCACGGTTTTTCTGCTCTGGCCATGTCTCAAGTTCTTCAGTCACCTCCAAGGCAAACATGTATCCTCTGCATCCTCCTTCCATGCTACATAAGTCCTGGCTGCTTTTGCTTCTGAACTCCCATATTCCTAATGGAATTTCCTGAAAATGAAAGCAAGCCAATTAGCTAAAGAACATGTATCAAACTCAACACCATATACACTCAGCATTATCCCAATCAAACGGGAAATTGGTACATGAAAGAATCATTATCATTTTCAATCAGTTAGTTTTAGTTAACCACCAGAAAATGAGGTGCAAGTAATGTGACATTAACTTGATTTTCAATCAAATTTTTCTGTAGTTAATGTTTCATGACTTGGCAGCCAGTTTCATACTTGACTTGTAATGTTTATGTAGAAGACTAGAAGCCTAATCTTTATCCTACAATTGCTCGACTAGAAGAATATTAGAATAGTGATATATTGGGAACTACATTCTATCATTAGTTTGGGGCTTAACCTGGTGATTAGAATGAAACTTCATGTAAATCTATGCTATCAGAGATGTGTATACAAGTTCAAGACCAAAATTTACTCCAAGTCCAAATGCAAAATATAAATTGCAAAATCTTTTTCCCATCAGGTTGAATCAAAGTTGAGTTGCATATGTACAAGGAATTAAAGTATAAGTGAATAGTTTCCTTGCAAGTCAAACCACTGCAAAGAAGTTTTCAGCCAATAAAGGTTTGATTTGAAAATATGTTAATACTAACAACTTTGCATTAGTTTTGGAGCTCAGAGAAAGGTTTCACTGCATCCAAAGAGATTATGACAGCCAGAAATGTTTGAACGATATCATGATCATTTCATATACAGATTATGGAATAATATACTATTCTTTGTTCAAACATTCCATGATAGAGGTAGACTATAAGTCTATAACCAATAGTTCCACAACCTAGAGGGAAATTGAACCTACTCTTAGTATTCCTTTAACTCCTGCTTCCTCTAAAGCTTCACGGCATGCAGCTTCTGTAACAGTCTCATCATCCTCCCATCCACCCTTGCAAGAGAAGAAAGTGAACCTTTTTCAATATAAAGGGTCTCATGCTAAATGAAGTTCAATACTGCAGAGTGCAGACAGTATCAAATACCTTTGGGAATACAAGGTCATCACGTTTTGGTGAAGAAACCATAAGTACTTCTAGTATCTCCTCAGTTTCTCCCATTTGATCTGGGTTGTCCTTTCTCCATCTATAGGGAATACATCTGTTAAAATGCACAAGTAAAATTAATTAAAATCACACGTGGCTGATAAGATTCTGTTTCAAGTTGCAACTTCACATCAGATCCTAATCCTCAAAACTTTTCTAGCAAATAGTATATTAGCTTAAAAGGGATTCAGCAAACTCAATTCAAAATCTTTACAGTAGCAAACATGGTTACTTTCCAAAATGAGCTCTCAATATTTATCTGAGTACGATGATGCGGTATTTGCATAATCTTCTCGATATGTACTTATGCATGATTTACGACCAATTTTTAAAGAAGTTAAATGAGAGAGACTTTATGTAAAAGTTGAAGTATACAATTTGATTTTAACTTTCGAAAGAAAACTTCATTCATTCCAGAGAAGTTTGTCCGAACATTACTTATTTCAACATTCAAATCTCAAAAACTGAAATTAAGTAATGGGCTCCAGTGACTTCTTATTTTATTTCTTCCACAAATCACTCTTGGTTTTATTACTTTTTTTTTATTTTTATTTAGTAAAGACTTCTTTTTAGGTAGATCCCTATTTGAGTGTGAACATGTGATCTTTAATTATAAAAATATATCATTTATCATAAATGTGACTTTGCATATTCTCTTCTTCAGGAGCATATAATTATGATTCTAAAAAATTTCAACTAATCAATCCCACTAAATGTTGAGGACATGATTCTCAATTTATAATAATAAATTATCATATGATGTAAGAAGTAAGTTTAGTATTTTTCATACTTTTTTATTTTAGCAATACTGACTTTTAAATTTTTAGAATTCATGCAATGTTAAAATAAAAAATAGAAAAGTAAATTATTAAGATAAGAAATATTACAGGTACAACAAAAATTATATGTATCTATTTCTCGATAATATTATCTTTATTCATAATAAATAAAGTGATGGAAAGAAAAACATAAAAGTGATATTATATAAGTTATTGTATAATTTTTTTGTGTACATATAACATTAAGATGCTTAAGAATGAGTAAATTATTTATTTTACCAAATCCCACTTAATCTTTTTCTTCTTATTATTTTTTTTATGTGTGCAGCCAAAAGGTTTAAAAAGTTCAAGAATGGCTTTCCCTAGTTTAATCCATTTTTCTGTTTACTTTATAGCCACTTTGGATATATTGAATTCTTGAAATGAGGATCAATGATTGTAGCCTGATATAAAGGAATAGATCCGAAATTTCCCTGCAACTGCGAATAGCAGGCTGACTCCAACCTTCAACCACAAACATGTTTCCCATGACTTGCATGGAAATCGGCATTGGCAACGTTTTTAATAATTTTATAAACAATACCACTACCCCAGTTAACTACTCTCTCTTTCGCTCTGCATGCGCCACAATGGTGTTACCGATAACTCTCGATATTGTCCTACTTTTATATTCAGATAACAGCCAAAATAGATCACGCAATTTGAAGCATTTTATTATATAGACGTTAAGTCAATGACATGCCCCACTATTTTGATATATGATTGTAATGGACACATCCGCATGAAATATAATAAAATAGTTTAACATCAAACAGAGAAGACAATTATGTATAAACAGTTTTTAGGATGCCCCCCTTGCCCCCCCTCCTATTCCATAAGCAAAAATCATTTAGATTTCTGCTACTGAATACGACTTTATTAATTTTCTATTTGCATATCAGACAAGAGCAGAGAAAGAAGAAAAAAAGGAAGGTTAATAACATAAAGATAAATTTAACCCTGCAAAGACACAGATGTATCAATATCCAGAATTGGAATCATATCTTGAATAAATACTATAAAATGCATGGCCTTAACCAAAAGGGGTGACAAGTCAAATCAGGTAGTAAAGAAAAAGAACAAAACGGAGAAAATATGAGATTTTGAAGGTTGTTAGCTTATATCTTAAATTTCATCATAAAACTAATTGAGATTAAGCAAAGTTGCTTAATAGTTAATAGATATATGAGCCACACTCAAATAATTGAGATAGACCATACGAGAACAATTTGACAATTTATTCATTGATATTGATCTCAAGATCTTAAAGCTATCCTTTCCAATCAAGTTTTTTCCATACACTTGTCAGGATTGAAGGTGCCTTTTAAATACTTGTTAGCACTTTCAGTTAATGGCAATTGATTTTAACATAGGTAAAGAAGCCATGGCCTTAAAATTGAAAACTTACCCAGAGACAAGGCGAAAATTGTCTTCATAACGCTGTCTTTGTCGCCCTGTTCGTGCTGACACAGAAGACATGGGTTCTAGGAAAAGACAAAATAGAACTTGAAGCAGCACACAAAGGAAAAACAGGGGAGAATCAAAACCAAGGTTGTCAATTGAGAATCTGGGGGTGTCTGAAAAAGAACCACCGAAACATTAAAGGGTGGTGCTGCTCATGATCATATCATAGCCAGGTTAAGCTTTCTCCAAATCCTGAACTCAAAGAAGCATCTAAAAGCTCTTGCATGGGAGAGGAAGCATAGAGAGAAGGTGATGTTTTGGCCAACACGTGTTTTGAACGATTTGTTAGATCAAAGTTGTGGTGTTAAAGTTTCAAGAGAACCTTTTCATATATATATATACGATAATGGTTTTATTTGTTTTCATAGCATAAGGTTCCTCCAAATGGCAAATGAAACCATAAATGGTAGCAACCCTTCTGCAAAGATGGAAAGGTAGAAGAAGATGTGCTTGATTTAGCAAAATGAAAAAAAAAAAAAATAAAAGGAAGAAAGGCTTCCACGAGAGAAAGAAAGATAGAGATAGAGCTTTCAATGGGTGCAGCAATGGCATCCATTTATATAGTAACCAATTCTTCAGTTTCGAATACAGCTTGTATTTTATTTTTAAAAAAATAAACTATTAAATCTATATCTATATATAAAAGGATTTAATATATAAATAAAATAATAAGATTGAAAGTTACTTTTATTTTCACCACTCAAATAAATTAACTGATCATAATCATACAAATTGTTAATCACCTGCATAACTTAACTTCAATTCTTTATTTTATTTATAATTTTTTTAAATAAAATAAAGAGTGAGAAAATATCGACCTCACTAATATTCATTATTCCAATTCTGGTAATGATTTTCCTTTGTTTTATTTCCTTTCCTATAGAATTTTGCATATGACAATGAGCGAATAATCTTTTAACTTATCAACTATTTTTTTTTCTGGGAATAAAATTCTTAGACATATAACGACGGGATGTCATTTCTGAGTATTTGGAAAAGAAAATATGTTTAATTAATAATAATAATATTTTTTTTATTATATAAATCAAGTTTATAAGTTTTTTTAAAAAATTTAAAAATATTTAATATTTCATTTCATTAATCAAAAGTGAATTTCTCTTCTGTATATAGAGATACATAGAGAGGAGAGATGTTGTTTGTTTATTGTCATTTTAAAAGTTCAATATATGATGAATAACTTTTTTTAAAAGAAAAATATACTTTTTTATTACTTAATTTTTAGTTAATTTACATTTATAATTAATATATATTTATTGTGGAGTAAAAATGATAAGAGATATAATAAAAAATTTCAAAATTATTTTATAAAAATACAAAAGGTTATTATGCTTATAAATGTATTTTTTTTTATATCGGTATTCTAAGACTTGACTTTAAATTAATCTAATTTAGTAAAAAAAAATTGACTAAAAATTATTTCCAACAAAAATTAAATTAAGATATTGTTGAAACAATTTGACATTGAACCTAATTCCTTAATTATAGATTTATGTATAAAATTTTTAAATGCCTATTAAAAAAGAACAGATTTAGTGTTTTAGTAATATATAATAAGATCGTATACTTTTATATTAAATTTACGTTTTAGTATATAAAAAGTAACATTCTTTCCATAAAAAGTATTTTAATAACGTGTATTGGGTTCAGGTTCTTACTTTTTAAAATTTAATTAAAACTCATTAAATAAGACTTCAAAAATGAAGTCACATGATAATGCCAATGTGTATTTATTAATATATTGCATTAAAAATTAAATTCATATGTTAATATCATTGTGTATACATGTAATTTACACTAAAAATAATATAAAATAAATTATCTTGTACATAAAAATTAGAGTTTAATTGACTCACTTAAATTTCATTAAGAAAAATGACTCACTAAAATATTATTTTTATTTATCATCAGAATTGATCTAACATATTATTAGGTGAAACAAATTTTAAAGTAAGTTTTTTTTAAATAATAATAATATCTTTGATAAAAAAAATTAAAAATTAAAAATAGACCTAAAAAAATAGTTATATTTATATATTTTTTTAGTGATAATTTTTTTAAAATGGAAAAAATGACTTTTAAAATATAGAATATTAAAAAAATCATAAATATTAATATAAAATGATTTGTTTTAAGGTAGGCTAAAGCTACATTTTGTTAGCCTAGGCTCGGGGTTAGGGGTGTGCAAAAAATTCAAATTGATCCTAACCGATCCATAACCGATCCGATCCATATTAAAAAATCCGACAAACATTGAGAAGGTGTTGATGTTTCCTTTCAACAATGCCATTTTGTCTCAACACAAGAAGTTTCGTGAAAAATGCCTTTTGCATTAAAGAAATCATTTATGAAGAACTCTTTTCCATTGTCAGAATGTAATTTTTTTAGTTTGCATGAAAACTGGTTTTCAGTTAGTATAATGAAGTTTGGAAGAATGGTTTTGACATCACTTTTGTTTTTAAGAAGAAGAATCCAAGTGAATCTGTTATAATCATCAACTATTGTTAAAAAATATTTGTAACCTTCAATAGAAGTGATAGCAATGGGACCCCAAATATCAACATGAATTAATTTTAAAAAGGACGTGGTTCTGTTAGTACTAGTCGAGTAGGGTAATTTCTTTTGTTTAGCAAAAGAGCAGGCATCACAAGCATTCACAGGGTTAAAGGAAATAGCAGAATATTGAGAAGCTAAAACTTGTAGAATTTTATTAGAGGGATGACCCAGTTTCATGTGCCACAAAGTACAAATATTTGTATTATTAACAAGAGCAGTATGTTGTAATGAAGATTGATAAGAAAGAGTACTGGAATCAGATACATTCAAGTTGTTATTTCCTAAGAGATGAAACAGGCCTTGATACTTTTTAGCTACTCTAATCATTTGGAAGGTAGTTATATGCACAATAACACAATGGTTTTTACAGAAAATGACAAGACAATCATTGGAATTAATTAATTTTGGAATAGAAATTAATTGAACAGACAAGTCAGGAACAAAGAGAGTGTTGTGAAG